GCAAAAAGTGCATCTGACATCGGAAGCCTATGTATTGTGGAAGAGATGAGGTTGAGATTGAGATTGAGATCCATCCACCCTTCACCTTCTGCTTTACTGTGCTATCTCATAAACTCCAACCATGTAAGTATCCATATTTTGACTTTGATCATTATTACTTTCAGGTTTTATACTTTCATTCCGTTTATATAGAAATTCATCGGACTTTGGGTTTGGGTAGTAACAAAATCATGGGGGACAAGATTGGCTAATGTTTGTGGTTAAAACGTTAATATTTCCTTTTTCATTTGAATTTTTTTTGTTTTGGCTATACTGAGATTTCTCAACATCTTGCAAACCAGGTCGGTAGAATGAAATCAATTCCTATATATAAGATCACTTCCTAGATCTCTTGTTGGCTCTAGATTTCTCAACATATTTTAAAGCTCTGTTATTTGTTGGTAGGATCTTTTCTCAAGCAAAGGCAACTTCTCAGGTTGGAACAGCAAAACAAAAGAAAGCGGGACTCACTCACTGCCAGTAGTCTTTTATTTCATTGACAATAATGTTGGGTTTTTTTTTTTTTTACCAATTTATGTCTCTTTTTAATTGTATTGGATGAACTTGGTTTTGTTTCCTTTGGTAATTTGTTTGTGTTGTAAGTTGTTAAGCATGTTATGTTATGGGATTTCTACTTTGTTTCTTTGGTGCATGTTTGCTTCATATAGTGAATTTGTTATGATGTTTAATATATTGTCATAATTACAAATTCCCTTTGGTTTGCTAACTTGACCACTGGAGAACATTTCAACAACACTCTACTGCCTTCTTCCACTCTTGCAAGGTTTTTTTTTTTCCTACCTAAACAATCATCTTTTATTTCATTTCCTTTTCTTTTCTATCATTTGCAATCCTTGATTGATTTAGTTGCTGAACAAGAAACAATTTCTATGGATTGAAGTGAACATCGAAGGGAGTTCCTATCTTGGAATCATGGTAGCTAAAAAGAACCCAGCTCTCATAAACCCCAAGTAGTAAGTTTTTTGACTTAGAATTTTATTTTTCATCAGGGCTTTATACTTTTTTTCATTATAGATAAATTGAATTTTGGGTATGTATGGCTGAAATTGATCCCTTTTGTAATGTGGATTTTGGCAAAATCGGTGGGCAATTGGCAGGAAGAGATCCAGGCTCTGGTCTCTAATAAACTCCAAGTAGTAAGTGTAAATTTTGCTGTTTTCATTTTCTATCCTTGTCTGTACTTTGACCCTTCAAAATTAATATTATTCACTTACAATAGTAATATAATATGCTTTTCAGGCTCTTAAGCAAAAAGGTTCGTACCAAATAAAGTTTTTGATAATAATTAGTATCATTTTCAGGTTTCCTACAAGTGGGTGAGTTGCAAACTTTTGGTGTCATCAAATGTTGCAAAGAGGTGAACATCTTTTCTCTCCAAGAATTTATTTAATGTTCACATTCACAAGCCACAAGAATGGAGACAAAAATTCATGATTGTTGATGAATACTTTTGCTACCATAAATGGAATTTTTTGAATTCTATTGCAAAGCAGTAATGTGATAATTTCTTCTCTAAATTTCTTGCAGAAGCTAAGCAATAATTTGATGGCAATAGCTGGGTTCAGGTGTACAGTGTTTAAGGCTGCATTGCAAAGTATTGTGAGCTGCACTCTAGAATGCTGAGCTTTTCCAGGCTTCAAGAGTTTTCCTAGAGTAGCATACTTCAAATATTGAAAATTCTTTAAGAGATAACAGGTAGGCCTTTTTTAGTTATTTAAGTCTAGATTTTTTGAGAATTTGGTAGTTGATTCTGCCTTTGGCCATCTTCTAGCAGAACATTCTTCTTTTGGAGATCACAACTTCCTTTCAAGTGTTTTGCCTCTTAAAGTGCTTATCTTCTCATATATTGTTATTTGCTAATAAAGAAAATTCTATGGTGGTGTTATGAAATGCTTTTATGATTGCTATCAGAATTTACTGGACATTCCTTAACTAATTATTTTGCTCTTTTGGAGGTGTAGGTTCATTAGCAAACTTATGCGATTACGCTTCTGCAAAGTTGAAGTCCAATTGAGCACCATCTGATGATCTTAATTTTAGTAAATATTCTCAAGATGAAGCCAGCAAGAATGGATAGTGGTTTTGGATTCATCGGGTGTGGACAAGCATGAAGATGCCATCAATTTAGCATCACCCTATCCCGCCAAACAGCTGCCTTGTATTGATCCAAAAGTCACCAGCAAAAGCAGAAACAGTTAAAAGTCCTCTCCAACTAAGAATGAAAATCTCCTTTCTAAAACTGGTATGAATTCTCTGCAACTTCAAACATATGTTAATTTTGCTTCTTAGTTGAATGAACTGCATTCATTTGGGCTTTACAACTATGGAGTGCTTTTAACAATCTTTTTTGCCTTTTTCTGGGCAGTGTACTTGACTGAAGGCTTCGCAATTTTATTTGATTTCGTTATATGCTTATTTCAGATTGTAAGCAATCTAGAGCCCAACAACTGTATTCCTTACAGTTTCATCTTTCAATGCAGGCCTCCTGTAGCCAAGAAGTCTCCTACAGTAGGAAGCGCTACTCCTTTTCTGGGAAGCAAAGCAGGAGGCCCAAAGAAAGCAGGGAAAATAAAGGATTCCAAGCAAGGCAATATCTCATCATTCTTTAAGAGAGTTAATTTGGGCAGAATGAAGTTTCCACTTCTTCTTGCTAGCCATCCCTCTTCAATGGATCTCGTTCTTTCTTTTGGTTGGACATTATATTAAATCAAATTCTACTTCATTTACAATGGGAGGCCTGATTCACTATCTTATATGGTTTATATGAAATTTGGAGGTGACAGCCTAATTCACGCCAACTAACAAGGTAAGTTATTTTTCATATTATGTGTGTCATACAAAAGGACATGATTCCCAGTCATCTTGGTTGTTTAAACCAGGGTCCCTTTTTCTAAGGGTTGTACAGGGTGCATATTGAATAAGCTAGAGTTATCCACGCCAAACAACTGAAAGAGGGATAGGAAGGAGGAATTAACCAAAGAAAGGGATCAAAGATAAGAGAGTAAACTACGGTTTATAGAAGAGAGAACAATATCTCTTCCTAAATGCAATCCAAACTTCACCGTTAAAATAGTAGAATTATCTCATGCATACACTATATGGCACATATATTTTGCAATTTCACTTCTATTATAGTGTTGGAATGGCCATTAAGCTGTCTATTTTGTCCCCTAAGCTTGATTGCAAACTAATGCATTATTACAAAAGAAGTCAAAAGTCAAAACACAGTATATATGAGTTTAAAATGCATACAACACAGACCTAGAACTGAGCTGGGACAGATACAGTATCAGATGAGTTTTCATTTGAATTCTCAAC